AAGAGAATAAATCTGTTGTAATATGTGGAGACTTTAATATCAATCTCCTAGAAGCTTCCTCAATCAATATTAAACTTAGATCATTGTTTAAATCATATGGTCTTTTTAATTTATTTATAGAGCCAACGCGTGTTTCTCAATCTGGTGCAACATGTATAGATAACATTTTTACAAATGTGAAGCCGTTGCATAAATGTATAATTCAAAAACTAAGTTCTGACCACTGTGGACAAATAGTTTCGTTACCTTATGTTCACAAAAAGCAAGTAGATGAGAAAGTTGTGTCTGTTCCAGTAAATGCACGTCGCTTGGAGAAATTTAGAAGTAACATAGTGAAAAAACTTCCATCACTTTCATACCAAAATAATATCCTAATTTTTTGTATGGAACAATATTTAAGCTTATTTGCAATAAATTTAATAATACTTTTACTTCTAAAAAATTCTCCTTGAACAGACGGAAGTCATTCAATGAATGGGCGACAGTAGGAGTCCATAAGAGGAGGCATAGGTTATATGATCTTTACCATGACAGGTCATATAATCATAGCGTCGAATTTAGGGAATATGTAAAAAAATATTCAAAAATATTTAAAAGAGTGTGCTCCATAGCCATGTCTTTGCATTTGAGCAACAAAATTAAGACTGCTTCCAATAAAATTAAAATGACATGGAGTATAATTAATAGTGAAACTGGTAAGATCAACTCTCGCAATTCAAATTACCAGTTAAGTGTTAACAACAAATTAACTGTATCAGATCAGGACGTAGCCATGGTTTTTGAGAAATATTTTACTGATATTCCGATATTGACCACTAAGTCACTGAATTCTTCTCCTGCAGTCGCCGAATCATTACTTAAACAAAATGTAAATGCGTGTACAAAGAATTTTACATTTCATAAAGTGTCATCAAAAGATATTGTAAAATATTTTAAAACTATTGATGTTAAGAAAACTGCGGATCTGTGGGGGATTTCCGTGAAAGTTATTGCGTCTATAATAGATACAATCGCGCCTCATTTAGCTATTATTTTTAATACTAGTATCGAATCTGGTGTGTTTCCTGATTTAATGAAGCATAGTAAAGTAATACCTTTATTTAAATCTGGTAGTACATTAGACCCCGCCAATTTTAGACCTATTTCTGTACTACCAACATTTAGTAAGATTTTTGAAAAAATTGTTCTTGATCAAATGTTAAATTTTTTTAATATAAATAATTTCTTACTTCATAAAAATCAATTTGGTTTCACAAGGGGTCGCTCGACAACTGATGCCGGAGTTGAGCTGATTAAATATATCTTTAATGCATGGGAGAATTCACGGGATGCTTTGGGTATATTTTGTGACATATCCAAGGCCTTCGATTGTGTTCACCCTGAAACATTAATCAGGAAACTTCAACACTACGGTGTAAGAAGTGATGCTCTTAAATTAATTATTGCATATTTAAGTAAGAGAACGCAAAAAGTTGTCATTAACAATATGAACTCTTCCGGATCGATGGTACAAATGGGCGTGCCTCACGGCTCAATTCTCGGCCCCTTTCTATTCCTTGTATACATTAATGACTTACCTTACATAGTAGGGGATAACCATGATATAGTATTATTTGCAGATGACACTTCTTTAATTTTCAAATTAAGTCGACAATTACTAAAATATGACGAAATAAATAATGCTATATCTAAATTAGTAAATTGGTTCAATGTTAATAATTTACATTTAAATGGCACTAAAACGAAATGTATGAAATTCATGACTCCAAATGTCAAACAATTAAATATTAATGTAATTTTAAATGAGGAGAAACTGAGTCTTGTAGATACCACCATTTTTCTTGGAAACACACTAGACGCGAAGCTTCAATGGAGCCCCCATATATCAAAACTAGCAAGCAGACTTAGTTCTGCAGCATATGCCGTAAAAAGATTAGAAGTCTAACCAGTGTTGAGACAGCTAGACTAGTTTACTTTAGCTATTTCCATAGCATAATGTCGTATGGTATTTTGCTATGGGGACACGCAACTGACACTGAAATTATATTTGTTTTACAGAAGAGGGCCATAAGAGCAATTTATGATTTAAAGCCTAAAGAGTCGCTGCGACAAAAATTTAAGGAAATTAATATATTAAATTTGGCCTCTCAATACATTTATGAAAATGTAATGTACGTACACAAAAATAAAAGTAGTTTTACAAAAATAAGTGATATTCATTCTGTAAATACTAGGAACAACCAGACGTTCGGCCAGTCTCCACCCTTTCGTTGTTGACTTACCACGCATTCGAACTAAACGGTTCGCCACGTCGTTCATCATGTGTACAGCAAAGGAGTGGAATAAGTTGCCAGCATCTGTCTTTCCATCCGATTACAGTGTAGGTGTCTTCAAGGCAAGAGTGAATAGGCTTTTGTTAAGTCAGTGCGCTTCACTATCTTAGGCTACATCACCACTTACCATCTGGTGGGATCGTAGATAAGCGCTGGCTTAGTAGAATATAAAAAAAGGTAATACTAGCGTCTTTACACGTACCCCAATACTTACTTTGCCCATTACCAAGGTTCTCAACTCTCCTGACTGCCACTTTTTAAATATCCAATTTGTATATTTTATAATTTCTTACGTTTATTTTTGATTTTGATTTCTTTATATGATTCGTAGATGGCGTGAATATAAAAATCACTGCGCAAGAGTTTCGTTCAAAATTAAACGTTGGTATTGAACGCAGATAAATTTGATGTGGTGCCATTGAAAATAATACTACTAACTACAAAGTATCAACATTTTAGTAAGTAGTCTTTATTATAATTATTCTAGTTAGTTGTTGATATCATTTCCTTATCGATATTGTCGATATCCTTAACATTTCTAATCATTAAGTAAACTTTTGCCTAATAAAACGATATCGCTTGAGCAAACTTCTTCGCTTCTGTTAATCTGTGTGTGAAATCTAAGGTCAACATAAATGGCAAACCTTTTTTAGCAGTGAGCAAAATTTTATTCTTAATGATAATCGCCTCACTTTTTCAACATTCTTCCAGTTGAATCGGATCAAATCGTACTCGTAGTTCTCCAGTATATTACATATTATCTCTAGATATTTGTTATATAAAACAGAAGTGACAAACAAGAAGGCTATAGATAGATATGTTATCACCTCTCAGGACTAATATGGAATACCTCACAGCCATTAGTTATTCTGGCTCACTATATACTTAAAAACGGAACACACAGCACTGGATATATTAACAGTTTCTATTAGGCCGCAGAAATAGTTGAAAGGGTGGTACACACATATATATATATATATATATATATATATATATATATATATATATGTGTGTGTGTGTACCACCCTTTATATATATGAATGAGTTAATGATTTATTCGTCGCACAAAACACTACGTTCAAACACTATCACAGAACACCAGCGTTAAATAGCAGTTTTATGCTGCTGTTTCGTATGTTGAGTGTAGAGAACCAAAGACCCATTTTTAGTGGAAACGAGGTATTCCATCTTAGTCCTCAGGGGTGAAAACGCATCTGCATTTTGATTCTCAGTATAGGATAAATGTAGATGTCTGTGGGCCACAGTATCCACTTACCACCAGGTGGACTGTGTGCTCGTTTATTACCCATATTCTATAAATAAAAAAACCAGTAATCAAAGCAAAAAAAAAGCAATATACGTAAATATATACATTGGGTTGCAGCAACGAAAAGGCGTTCGATTAAGCATGATGATGTAGCAGTGCTGCCACAGCCACAGTGATATTATTCTGGCGATGGCTTATATTTACTGCTGATCTGTTGGACTTACTTTAGTCGCAATATATCTCATCGCCTACTTTAACGTCAAGTCCTAATAAACTATTTTTTGTAACGTTCGAGTGACGAACGCGCTAACAGTTCACCTGATTCTAAGTGGATATTGCAGACTACCAACAAATTGATTGATTGATTGATGCGATTTCAACTCTTAGTTGATTGACTCCTTAGTTGATTTTACTTGCTCTTACTTGTTCTACCAGAACACGGTGGTGGCAAAAATCTGCCACCAAGCAACAGTCTTTTTGTCTATTTAGACCAGTGATTCACAACCAGTGGTCCTCAAGAGCTTGAATATGGTCTACGAACGATTTAAATATTTTACCTACCTAATAGTTTTAAATAACACATTTATTATTTTCTTGTCACGCGGGCAGTGCAATACAGCGCGTCACGTTAGTAAATACCTACTAACTTTTACAATAAATACACAAATAATACTGTTTAATGAATGTTTCTTCTTAGTTTATTATATAATTATGTTAAAAGTCGTGATTATAATTTATTGTTAGAATAACACATTTTTTCTTTTTTTGCTACTAACTACAAAAATATCAAAGTGGTCCCCGAAAAAAAAGGTTGGGAAACCCTGATTTAGACAAATGGTGACACTATTCAGGTTGTACCTGGTAGTGTCACGTTACAGCTATACTATGATTGTAGCACGAATGGGTCGTCGGCACCGGAGTAGGACCACGCTCTCACAGAATACCAAGCGTAAAATAGCAGCTTAATGCTGCTGTGTTTCGTATGGTGAGTGTAAAGAACCAAAGAACCTTTTTACTAGAAACGAGGCATTCTTTAAAATTGAAAGTTTAAAGTAATTGTCTCAGATTGCGCAAGTATATCCACTACCCCATATATCCTCGTCGTAAGAGGCGACAGAGGAAAAAAATCTGACGGGCGGCAGTGTCCTCCTAGTAACCTAACCAGTTTACCAACCCGCTTGCCAAGCGTGACAACTATGGCAAATATTCCCCCTATGAAGCAATCTATGGGGGAGGCCTAAGTTCAGCAGTGGACATTAGTAGTCTGTAACGATTAACGGTTTAATGGCGCAAGTATTTACGGTTTTTAAAAAAATCAACGAAACGTATAGCCACCACTAATAAGTGAATGATAACCAGTGATATATTTTTTTTACTTTTCTTACAGAAAAGCCGTCATCATGAGCAATGACAATCAAGGAAACCCGTACAAGCAAAGGTTTAAGGGTATCGAAAATTTTCTGCGTCGAGTAGCATTCAATTTAGGTACGAAGTTGTACAAGTTAGTTGTGTTAATATACAGGAATGTTTTGCAATAACTGTCAGAAATTTGCAGAGAACGTTCAGAATAAGTAATTTAGGCAAATATTGAAGAAAAATTAATTTAAAAAAATCTCAAAGATTCACCTTTTTATCTTTTAAATTCAAAATGCGTGGTAATGCATTATTTTAACTGATTTTACTGCGCACGCACACATTCGTAAGGGTCAATCGATAGGCAAATAAACATGCCCATAAATCATATTCAATTTGGGATAAATTCAAATAAAAGTAGAAGCCTTATTTACTCGAATTTGCAAAAACTGCAATAACGGTATATCATTATTTATATATGTGATCTGAAGTTTAAAATTTGGCTACTCTTTGAAAAATAACCCTGTATGTATAGTATGAAAAAATTGGCTTGACCGGGGAAAGACCAAACTCTTACAGAATTCCAGCATTTGGCGGACATTTTAAATATTTGTTTGAAAATATAGCGATCCGTAAATATGATATCAATATTCGCAATGTCTTTTTCTCATATTTCATATTGCACGTTTTTTATTTATAACTTTACAAATTCATATTCAAAAGGAAATAGTAACACAGGTTTTGTATAGAATGCTTAAAAGATTGGATGCATTTATACTTTTCATTGAAAGTGAATTTGCTAAGCGAAATCAATTTTGACCATATCATCAGGGATATCGTTATTAAAAAGTCAAGGAAACAGTTATTTTAGGCACTAAAGCGTACCTTAAAAACGGTAACTATTTTAATTTAGATAAACAACCAATATGAAATTAAAAACTAGGGCACCATTCGCTTTAAAGACCTAGGTCACCTAAAAGTTAAATCTGACGCTGGCGCCATGTATGTTAAAAATTCTTTTTATTCTTTTTTTTTTTTTCTTTAAAAAAACGTTACCCCCACACTAGGATTTTCTCATGTGTCGTAGAGGCAGTTTACAAACATAAATTGCACGAGGACAAACATCCAGACTCGGAACAATTATTTGTAGGCCATACAAATACTTGTTCCGTGCGGGATTCGAACCCGCAGCCCCCAGCGCAACAACTCATTGCTAAGCCACTGCGCCACGGAGCCGTCAACATAATATCATTAAACACCAATAAAAAATTTCTTTTAACAATCCATTTTTGATTTGTACGAAAAAATATATAAATATATTTGATAATGGTCCGGATGTTTTTTCTTGAGCAATTTGTAATAATAAAATAAATATATAAAATAAAAATCGTTTATTTCGACCACGTTAGTAATAATACAAATCTTAAAACTAATATTAGTAAACTTAAAACTATTTACCTAATTCTAAAACAATATCTAAGACAGGCTATCCGGTTGTCAGCGCGTGCACCATATGACAATGGTTCAGGTACTGACAATGAAACCTGTCAGAAAATGCTCTCAGGATGCCATTAGAACTGGCCAGCGCCCTGCGCACCAAGGATATGTATCGTTTACGCATGGTGGTGTAGAAACAATCCACATGCGCATCCGCGAACATACCCAACGCACCACAGTAACGAGGCAGACCCAACAGCATCCTGAATGCAAAATGTATGTATGTAAAACAACTCGGAAAGAAATCCTAGTAATTATTTAAAAAAAGAATACTCGCAACGCTGGGCATGGTTTGCAAGCCCAGAGACGACACTTTTCCACTAGTAATGGTCGACTATATTTTTTGTTTCGATTTATCTTTTTTTTATGATTCTCCGTCATCTGTTTATTACCAGTGCCTCTAAAGCCTCGATCACACACAGCGAATACTCGCTGCGATTAGGCACGTCAGTCATACGTAGCGAGAACTCGTTACGTATGACAGGCTATTCGCTGCAAATAGATTCATTTGCAATTTGAAATTACGATATAATTCGTTTCTTGGGTGTGTATAGAAAAAAGGGGAGCTGTTTGACACAAATAACAGTAATTAAAAAAAACGCAAAGGCAGTGGCTCCATTGTTTAACCAATTAATTGAGTTGGGATTGGAAATAGCAACACAAGCGGAATTAAAAAGAATATAGAAGAATATAAAAGATACATTTTATAGATAATTCTCGTGTAGTACACGCTGTGTGTGCCAGGCAGGCAGCGAATTGTCGCTGCGAGTAAGTAATATTCGCAACGAATACACTCGCAGCGAATATTCGCTGTGTGACCGAACCTAAGTCAACCAGTAAGGTACCTACATCGCGTGCTATCGAGGTTCAAATTTGAAGACAAAGTTGGATAAAATAAATCTCTAAAATTAAAGTTACAACCTATATACGAGTATGTATGTGTTTTAATTAAAAATAGACTTTTATAAAGAAGACATTCATAAGTTAAACATTAAAATTACAGGTAATACTCCATCACAGACAGAAGTTAAAATTATATCATGTATTCCAATAGACGTAACAGACCTACAGCAGAGGATCATAACCCTTGAAAGGGAATTAGTAGAAGCTAAAACTCTTGCAAGTTATAAAGCCAATACTATAATGAGCTCAAGCATTACTAAAAACACTCCAACTCGACACTCGACACCAATTATCCAAACAGCTCTTGGTAAACCTACCCCAATCTGCTCAAAGTCGAAAAACCCTCCGCCATGCCAAAGTAGTCAAACGAATGTTCCGGTTACAAATCACGGGTGCAACACAAAATCTTCACCTAAAAGGAAATCAAGTGTTTGCTTTGTATCCCCTAATGCTTCGAACGAAGTTTGCACAAACAAATACGAGGTAACATATGCAGAATCCAATGTTAATGTGATGAAAGCTTCGGTAAATCGTGACAAAACAAAAGTAGCCAGCAAAATCGTTCCGAAAAGGCTGAGAAGGGCTTTAAGGAAGAAAACTAAACAGAAGACACAGTTGGTGTATTTCGCTCAGACTTCAAACACACCTTTTAACAGTTACGACATGACCTCTGAATCGATTAACAAAATTGCAGCAGCAAACAAGAAGTCTGTAATAAGCCGCACTTATTTAAATAATATGATTCGCAAGCAATATGAGCCAGAAGTGATTGCAGATGAACTGACCGATATCAGTCAATTTTCCTCGCCCATCTGCAGAGATATTGATCCCAAAAGTAGCAATTACAACTCACATGAGTCCAATTTATCATGTTACTATAAAAAATTTGAAAATCTCGATAAATGTTTGCCAAGGAAAAATCATAACTTAAATATAACACTAAAAAATAATTTGGTTGTAGACCCAGGGCCAGTTTCCTTATATTACCAACAAAAACATAGAAATAATCATGATGGATACTACGATTCTGATCACTATGATATATTTCCAGTTAAAGAAAAATCCGTTAAAACGAAGAAAGAAATTTTGTCTAAACAGTTTCAACGAATGCATATTGAATATTGGCCTGAAAATCTTCGAACTAAAAACAATGTACAACCAGTTTCGTATGATAATGCTAATAAAACATGTGATAATTACGACAATATTTACAAAGATGATGAAGAGAAATTTACAATTTCAAATGCTAAAAGAAAAAAAGGTCGAATTAACGGAGAACGAGAAATGAATTCGTATGAACCTAAAATTTGTTCTGTAGATTATGGAAATGTTTATGTAAAGAAAAATTTAACTAACGATAATACACAAAAATCTAATCCAACAACTCCATGCTTAAAAAATACAGAATGTTTAACTGTAAACATGATAAATACACAATGCCAGACGGTAGAATCGAAAGCAATTCAGCATCATATTCCAAATGATAACAAAGCAGAAGTTACTCTCAACCAAATCAAAGGTATATTACAATCAGTTTTAACTGAAGTAAAAACAAATATTAAATCTAATAAAGTTGTTCATAAGCCAAAAAAAGACGTCGTGATACAAAAAGACGTATCTCATAACAATATAGTGGGTGGTTCAACTTTTCTCAACAGTTTTACATACAATCCTTCTTATAGTATAAACCCTTGTTTAGCCTCTTACTCGCGCCCAGTTCCTAATTTCTGTTATGCCAATTTGCCTTCCCTACCAATGAAATGCTTACCAAACTATCCCCTAATATTACCTGCAAAAGGTCAAAATTGCGGGTGTCAACATAGGGGGGGCGACCACAAGGTAGAATCACAAATCCAAACAAAACCGGCAGCTACTGCAGCAACTAACACTGATGGTGGACCAGATAAAATGCAGAAAAACGAAGCTATTAATTTGATCAAGGAAATATACAAATCTGTAGCTGTGGACATTAACTATTCAAATGAAAACACGTCACGCATCTCATTCGGCTACCAACAAAAGACAGAGCAGCCTGAAGTGCAATCTGTTAACACCAAAGAAGTAACAAGAACAGAGCCACAGTCAGCAGGACAAAAAAACATTCAATTGCTTACAAACAATATACCTACTACTATACTTACGTCCACTATTACCGACAACAATACCGAATCAATAGCGGAAAGCTCGCAATCAGAAGTAAAAAGTGAATTAGCGACAACAGCTACAGGTGCCAGTTCTCAAATTACTGACAACAACACAGAAGAGGATAAAGTATATCATACTTCAGACCAAGTGGAAAACGAAACAGCTGACCAACAATCTAACAATGAAGAAACTAATACATCTGGCAGCGAAACCGAAAGCGGGGACACGCTTGTAGCAGATGAAGAAACAAAAGTAAATATATGTCTCAACCTATTTTATAGCTACATCATCACTCATCACTCCTTATTTATTAAATACTGTACGTGAAATAAAAGGTAACTCCTCTTAAAAGCCTTTCTTGATGAGATCTGCCCATACTCGCTACACTAGAAAACAAAATACATATATGTAGGTACTTTTTAATAATGATTTCATTTATTTCACGCATTACGCCGACATGTAAAAGAATCCACTACCATATAACATCCCGCAGATGTCCTAAGAGACGACAGTGGGAAACTGAATCAGAAGATGGGCAGCAGTATATTCTTGATTACAGCTCAAAATATTATATAATTTTGCCTGCCTGCCAGCGTGGTAACTAAGCGTAATATAAAATGCTCCTCCTATAAAGCAATCTATGGAGGAAACCTTTTTAAGCAGTATACTTTTGAGAGGCTGTGATGATGATGACGCCTCGTGGACTACCATAATATTCATTCAATTTACAAGGTGTAGGGGTTCCTTTTCTATCAAGGTTTCTATCATGTGAAGCCACCCTTTTAACTTTTCCTCACGCCAAGCGTCACTCCATCCACTGCTGGGTTCCATTCCATGAGCTACACCAGCCACTAACATGAGGTGAGCTGTTAACCCATTTGTCTTTCTTGTATTATAAAAAATACCTGTGACGATGACCATTTTTATACCAAATGGGTTTATTCAGAAAAATAAGATTTTATACTTTTGTTATATATAAATTACAGAAGAAAGTAAAACCGGGTCTATTTCAAAAAGTGCTACAAACCGTAAACATATTCAAAAAAAGAAAACCCGAAAAAATGGTGGATGAAAGTGAATCCGAAGAAAGTGGCTCGGACTACCAAACAATATACAGTTACAAAACGTACAAAGACCTTAAGCAACCAATCACCAGAACATTTCAACAACCCGCTACAAAACAAAGACACTTAAAGCCAATTGTCCAACCAGATAGAGAAATAAGAAAGGACGTGCAAGAAAATCGTAGAAGATCGCCCTACATGGAGCAAGAATACAGACGTTACTGGGATGAAAAACTAATGTTCCACGAAAACCAATCACCAGTGCATTCTTCAGAGAGATCTTTTCCAGGTTTGTCTCGAAGTCCACAAAGTCCCGTATTCTGGCGAGGCTATGAAGCTAGGAGCGCTATTATAAGACATAGACCAACGAAAATACACCGAGAACACTCAAAAACCTCGCAAAGGTTTCAGAAAGAAAGAACCGGACTGAAGCTTGAATGGCTGAAAAAGCAGAAATTTAAAACTCCAGTGAGTGAAGAATCTTAAAGAATTTTGCATTCAAAATTGTCATTTCCTATTTTAAACATGTTTTAAATTATTAACGTCCTTTATTTAAGTATAAAAATGTCTACCGTTATATTTTTGATTCAGATTTCGTATATAAAATTATAACCAAGTTGTTTCTTTAATTTTAATTTTAATGACCCTAAAGTAATTTGTGCCTCATCCGGTGTCATATGAGGCAACAAAGAAAAATGGAGCATCTTCTGACAAAGACTCTTCACTCTATGTAAACTACTAAAATGTATACTAACAAAAATTATGTCACAGCTGGCATAAGCGCGGTAAAAATGCCACGCAATTGTATTTTCATTTACGACAGTTATTGTTTATAGGCAAATTAGACATTCTTTATTTGAAATAAACTTCCAAATCCCGTGGACAAAGTGCACGCATAAACAAAACTCAATGTTAGATTGTGAAAACACCGTTTGTGGTTAAGAGCGTAGATGGGCTGTATTTTTTCCATACAAATGTATTCCCATATTCTCTTCCTGGGTAATGCCTCTAGAGTAATCGTTTTTGTTTATAAAAATCTAGGTCTTTTAAAAAAAATATGACTCCAAAAACCTAAAAAAAATCCCAGTTTTTAACTCCGTAATCAGACGACTACCAAAGAAATTTGAAAAGTTTTTAAGATAAAAACAAGTGATAGCAGCATAGAACTATTCTTCCTTTAAATTTTGGTACCAAAAATAATTTAATCGGCTTAGTTTTCGACGAGAAACAAGAGAATACGAAACGTCGATCGGTCATGGTTTTTGTAGGTAAAATCGTTCTGAGCTGCAGTTGTCCCTATCGCACTCTACGGGGGAAACCATATATAGCGCGACGGCAATAGTTTCTTCAAATACCTGTTTTTAAATTACCGCGCAGACCGACTACGCTCTTAACAAAACAAAGAACTAGTGTTCTCGCCCACTCGCAATCGACTAAAGGTATTATGGAGAATTGACCGTAACTAATGCTCAATTTACGAGCCGTCTAGTGGAATATATAGATGTCTTTGTCTTTACAGCATCTTCATGATTACAACCCAAAAACATAATAAAAAAGTGCGGTTGTCAACCCATCTGGAAGCGTGGCAACTGCGGTAAATGATTTTAATTTTGACTGAAATTGTTTACTTTGATGCGTCTAAAACCTCAATTACTCTGAAACTATGTCGACGGCAACATAGGTGCACCTAAGTAAGAGCGTACACGAATCCCGCCATTACTTTATAGTCTGTGTTCACGCCCTTAGCTGCCCCGGCAAAAGTCGACCGTACCAGGGCCCATGAGTGGTAGTCGCGACGGGCAACAGAGGACGGGGCCCAAATGGCCTATGGAGAAATGTTCAAAACTGCTGACAAATAAGCAAGCACTTACCAATCTCGGAGATAGGGTTGACCACAGGGTACCAGTCAGGTGATAAGTGAGGTGCATGTAAGTAGTGTATAGTAGTGTGTACCATGTAACCTGACTTAACCGTTGAAGTCCGACTGCAGATCCACAAGCGTTGCTTCTCTCCAAAAGTGAGATCTCTCAAGGGGGGCGATCACCAATTGAAAACTCCTGCCTTCATTTCACTATTTCAGTTTATCAACTTTATTGTACACTATTTCAATCTATCAACTTTATTGTACATTTAATTAAGTTCAAACTCAAGGATAAGCCTCGTTAATCGTACTCAAACACGTGACACACGGCACAACTAATGAACTGTCGATCAAGGTTCAATATTCAGTTCCGGGTTCACCCAGCACAGAACCACAAACACGGGAACGAACGCGGTCTCTTCTTGAGTCACTAAGTTAGTGTTCAGCACGACAAGCTAAAATTCTTTCGTACGATATTAACAGACCACACAAGCAAATTAAATATTGCAAATGCGCTTCAAAATGCAATTACTTTACAAATTGAGGTGAATTCCTTGCAAACAAAGGTAAGTTAATCATTCAACTCAACAAAAGGGCCTCGTTATCACTTCAAACGCTCCAAACAAACAACTCAATTCGAGGCGGTCTTAAAAAGACTCAAATCTTAGATAGTAAATTAGACGCGCACAATTACTCAAATTCGCTGCTGCCGAACTCCTGGTTTTTATCCCATTGTCGCTTTTTACAACATACGCTCGACGATATCGATGTGGGTAACTCACGACAGCAAGAACGGCTAAATACGGCTTGTTATATGTTTATGTATGTGTGCTGAGCACTGAAGGATCACGCTAGTAATTTCGAAATCAGATAGATTTTTTTCATTTCCGTTCCCAAAGCGTGCTTTATGAGCGTAATTTTTGTGGAAAACGTATTGGAAATGGAATCTTGGAGGGTATAATAATAAACTATTTATTAATAAAAATTTTAGAGAGGCATTCCATCTTAGTCCTGACGGATGGCAGCGCATCTGCATTTTGATTCGCAAACGAGGATAGGTGTAGATGTCTATGGGCCACAGCAACCACTTACCATCAGGTGGACTGTGTGCTCGTTTGTCACCCTATCCTATAAAAAAAATTACGAAGTAAAAAATCAAAAAAAATCGAGAAAAATAAAAAAATCGTTATGTGGTCATTAACCATTCTTACTAGGTTATCAATATACATTCAAAGTTTTCTATTATTTAGTAGAAACCTAAACGGTCTTACCGTTTAGGTTTCTACTAAAACACCTACACTACACCTTCTTACATTCCTTTCATTAAACATTTAACATTGTCTGGACTCGTAGAATATGGCAACAGTTTTAATAGTAGCTATCTTAAAATTGCGCCAATGTTTAGAGCCCTATTTTTAGGGTTCCGTACCTCAAAAGGAAAAAACGGAACCCTTATAGGATCAATTTGTTGTCCGTCTGTCTGTCTGTCAAGACCCTTTTTCTCAGGAACGCGTGGAGGTATCAAGCTGAAATTCATATCAAATACTCAAGTCTACTGTCCCTTAGAGCTGTGAAAAAATCAAACTTATAAACCAACGCAATCAAAAGATACAGCCGTTTAAGCCGCAAATTTTCGACATTCGCAAGGGAATCAAAACCTACAGGGTACTTCCCGTGAACTCAGAATCTTAAAATTTGGTACGAAGCAACGTATTATAGCACAGATAGAGGAAAAATTGCGAAAAGCATAAATTTTTAGTTACATCATATAATAAAAATATTTTTAATACTCCGAGTCCGACTCGCACTTGGCCGGTTTTTTTTTTACAAAATACTTTAATACGTCTACTAAAACCTGAACTGGAAAAAGTACGAGATAAATAATTTAACTAAGAAATTTTGCACTAATGTATAAAAAATTATGTGGACTGAAGGACCACAGATTAGATATTTGTTTTTTTCTGATTTGTGCTTTATTAGTAAAATATGCTTTACAAATTCTTTACTAGATATCTGTCATCACCTCATCACATCAATTTTTTTAAGATAGATTTCGAGATCTGACGGATAGACTGTGTGAATTGAGGGACCACACTCTAGGCCTGTAACTTTTATATATTGTTGCACAAATTTCATTCTACAATTGCTTTAGGCCTACTATTATTAAATCCTAAGCAATTAATTTCGCAAAATCCCGACTTGGTCCCTCAGTGCTCAAAAACACAAATTATTTACTTTGATTCGTATAAAACCTCTAATCATTCTGAAACTAGTTCGACGGCGACAAAAGCGCACTGAGAAAAGAGCGTACACGATTCATGCCTGCTCCGATTTGCTCCAAGACGAGACACGAATTAATACATATTTGACTGAGCTTGGTTCGGGCATCGAATGCACCGTGACTGTCTTCATTCATCATTACAGCTGATTAAATTTCTACTGATGAATATAGACCTCCCCGTAGACTGTCGCATAGACGAAATATTTGCCGTAGTTCCCACACTTGGGAGACGGGTTGGCGACCGCAGTTTTTTTTTTTTTTTAGTTGTTATTAGGAAGACGCTGTTGCTCATCTCCTAGTTTGTTTCCCAGAGTCGCCACTTACGAGATACAGGAGGCGATATTGGCATATTCGTACAGTCGTTACACCGTCTAGACTGACTGACTGTATTAAAAAAATAATAAGCTGCTATTAGTAGTAGCATTATTTAAATGTGTAGGTTAAAAAAAAGAAATCTTTTCTTAACTCTTTTAAATGAATAAGTGTGACTAACGAGCACACTGTCCACCCGATGGTCGTGAAAGCTGATGCAGATACATCAAATAACTCCATTTTGAGAAAACGTCGTTATGAAATAAGGCCTTATATAGAATGCGGATCATTTATGAACGAAACATGTGATAATGTTAAAAATTTTGTACAACAGACTACTGATAAATAAAATGACAACATTGTCAATGCAATTGTAAACATTAATTAAGAATTAAGGATAACTCAAAAACTACTGGTCAGATCTTGATTAAATTTATATGTGACCACATGAGAAGCACCAGCTTTCAAATAGAAAAAGAATCATCAAAATCGGTTCACCTAGAAAAAAGTTCTGAGGTAACACACATAAAAAATAAAATATAGTCGAATTCATAACCTCCTCTTTTTTTTGAAGTCGGTTAAAATCGACGTAATTATCGACTTACACATTTCAGGGCTGATTAAATAAAATATACAGAGGTTTATTGCACATTTATTTCATTATTTTTAAAATTAAATAGACTAGTAGCAACATTTAAATAATTTAAATGGAATATAGTTTTTACACAGATTATGTCAATTTGTAATCACTCTTTTCGCTTCTTTGTGCTTTTTGTGTGTATTTCAAGTCGTCTATGACAAACCTGAAATCATATAAAGTATTATTGTTAAAATATACAAGTAGATACATCACAGGTAGTAGAACCTTGTTATGGTTATGGTACGAATGGGTCACTTCGATCGTGGAAGGACCACGCTCTCACAGGATACCGACTTATAATAGCAGCTTAATGCTGCTGTATTTTGTATTGTGAGTGTAGAAAAGGGTAGATTTTTACTGCAAAAGAGGAATTCCATATTAGTCCTCAGTTGTAACAAGGCCTTTTGATAGTTAATTGAAGATAGATAAAGATGTCAAGGGGCTACAATATCTATTTACCATGTGGTAGACTGTGTGCTCGCTTGTCACCCTTATATACTAGAGAGTACTACTTTTATGCCAAGGAGTCTGTCTGGGTAGGCAGCAACCCACCTATTTGTGCCACCAAATGGCAGACACTGCATCACTGTGTTCGAATGCCTCGTATCCAGTGAAAAGGGTATCTGGTTCTCTACACTCACCATACGAAACAACAGCAGCATTAAGCTAAAGTAGTATAAGTCATAATGGGAAATGACAGAATATCCCACACCCATTGTTTTTTTTTTTTTATAGAATAGGGTGACAAATGAGCACACAGTCCACCTGATGGTAAGTGATTGCTGTGACCCATAGACATCTACATTTATCCTCAATAAATAATCAAAATGCAGATGCGTCGTCACCCGTGAGGACTAAGATGGAATGGCTCTTTTCCAGTAAAATGGATCTCCGGTTCTTTACACTCACCATACGAAACACAGCAGTGTTAAGCTGATATTTAACGCTGGTATTCTGTGAGAGCGTGGTCCCTCCCCGGTCGAGCCGACTCATTCGTGCTACAACTATACAACTAATATAGCTGCAGCATGGCTCTACCACGTATATTCGTTTCTCACAGTTGCTGCAAAAGTTGTCTACGTACTACAGATTGGCAGAATAAGCACTACTTAAGGGTAACAACGCATCTACATTTTGATTCCTAATCGAGGATAGATGTAGGTGTCTATGGGTCATGGCGTGCATTTACCAAAAACAGGAGTGTGCTCGTTTGTCACCATTATTCTATAAAAAAAAATCCATATATTTCGTCCCTTGGAGACGATTATGGTATATGGCAAAATAATGTTATGAGTTTCCAATTGATCGCCAGGCCTGAAAACTTGTCAGAGTTAATATATACTGTCTCTTTGCCACATTGTCCACCGCGCTGTCCCAATGCGTGTTGGCGAACTTCACATGTCTTGGATTTTTTTCCTCAAACATGCAAGTTTCCTCATCATGTTTTACTTCACCGCCGAACACGTAGTAAAAACAGCAATTAAAATTGCAATTAAAATTAACGGCCTTTCTCATAAAATTATTTAAATACTTAATGTTGCTCTCTTTTTTCACTAAATGGTAATAGAAAGAAACAGGTAGAGATAATTAATACTTTAAGTACTTGCGACCCGCTCCTCCTTTATATGGGTAAGATCTATTAATTTGGCATTATTTATATTTAAGGTATATAATCATCAAAGACTATTAAATGAAAAAAAAATTATAATTGATAAAATAAATTTTATTTTATTAATTTTTCGTTTTTTTTCTGAGGTATTATTATGTGTATATACTCGTACATCGTACATACACTAAAAACTGAAAAACTTTTATTTAAAACGCATCTTTTCAATTATGATGGCACTATGTGAATTTGTGCATAACAAATGTTCACCTCACTCCCAGCGACACCTGGTGAGCATAAAATTATTAGCCCTCATTGCAGTCGGCGGGGACAAAACACTCACGCATTTTTTATTTTATTGCACAAATGGGTCGACCACGACCGTGGATGGATCACGCTCTCACAAAATACCAGCGTAAAATAGCAACTTAATGCTGCTGTGTTTCGTATGTTGAGTGTAGAGAACCGGAGACCCTTTTTACTGCAAACGAGGCATTCCATCTTAGTCCTCAGAGGTGACAATGCATCTGCATTTTAATTCGTAATCGAGATTAAATGTAGACGTCTATGGGCCGCAGTATCCACTTACCATCGGGTGGACTGTGTATTCGTTTGTTACACTTATTCTATAAATAAAAACTAAAAAAACCTGTAGAAGAGCGGGACAAGTGGTGCAGTGGTCAAGTGCCAGAGGGCGTGCGCGTCCCAGGCGTGGTACAGCGGCGGGAAGTCCAGCAGCTCCAGCGCCAGCGCGGCGCCCGACAGCGCCACGAACGCGACCACGCGCCACGCGTACCCGCGCCCGCCCAGGCACTGCACGCACGCCCACGTCAGCCATATCAACGAGCCCACCACACCTGCCACATGCTTACGTGAGTGTTTAGCCGAGTATTCAAATCACAGACACAAATGTTTTACATCAAAAATTATAAAATTAAAAAAAAACTAATTTCAATAGAGAAGATGGCTAGATGCTACAATTACATTACATTTGATAGACCGCAAATCCTCGCAAAAGAAAACTAAGGGTGATTCACGAGGGTATCGAAATTTAAAACTAAAATCCTAATGTCAATAGAGAAGATAGGATACGTTAGATGCTAACATCTGCTTGAGATCTTATAATAAATAAAATTCCAATCATACTACTACAGCAAGACTTCAAGATACTGTAACGTCGATACTGTAGAGCCATGCTGCAAATTAAGGTTAGAGCACGAATGAGTCGGCTCGACGGGGGTTTTTTAACTTTCCGCTATGAAAATTAATGATTTTCAAAAAATGGGGAAGTTATTGGTGTCACCCGTTTTCGAAAATCGAGGTTTTATCAGATCTCGACGTTTTGAAGTCCTAGGAAGTATTCTATTCCTACGAGGATGTCACTATGTCTGATGTGTATGTATGTATGCGTGCGTGCGTGCGTGCGTGAGTACGTGCGTGCGTGTGTGTGTGTGTCTGTGTAAGAGAGAGAGAGAGTGCGTGTGCGTGTTAGTGTATGTTAATCGTTAACCTACGAGCATTTATGCATAGGTATATGGATGTAAAGTAGACGAGAGAGGTGTGTCAGGATCGTGCCGAATGGAAGTCCGTAGTCTCTGCCTACTCCTTCTGGGTGACAGGAATGTTTATGTTATGTTCAAATTCTTGAAATAAAAACATATTATTAAAAGATTGCTGATTATTTATCAATTAATCTATTCTATAGTACATAAACATCTTTATACTAAGATTTTTTAATTTATTACAAAAGCATCTTATATTATTGCCTCTTTCAAAATTATACAGAAAACATAGACAACATTAACATTCTGAGAAATAAAAATTGCCTCTAAATATTTTATTGTTATAGAATGCATATAACCATTAATTTTTAGATAACAAATATTTATCTATGAATGGACGGGCACTACAGTACTAATACATTAAGTTACGGTCAATTCTCCGTAACTCCTTTAGTTAACTGCGGGCGATAGAAGACTCTATTTAAAATAGCATTAGGCAGAAGTTTAAAAAGGTTTTTTAACCGAATCGTTGCGGCACCAATTTTCGACAACTTTTAGCTGTGGCGGCGAACAAATATTTAATGACACGCCTATTGTGCCATCAGCCATGTGTAAAAGTAATTATCTTTTTTATACTTTTTTCACTTGTTTAGACCTAATTACGTTTAGTTGACATCAAACATCAGTTACAAACGGAAGGATACTTGTTTTTAGTGGGTGACTTTGTTATGCAGAGATTACAAACATTTTGTACTATGTTTTGTTTTATATAAAAAATCATTTATATAAATAGGTACAGCTAAATCTCCCTGAAAAACCTTGGTTTTTATTAAATTAAATTTTCACCTAATAATAATATTTGTAAATATGAAACAATCAAGAACCTTAATTTGGAAAAAAATAAGGTTATGATCCATTAATATTTACAAATGTTAAATATTATTTAATGTTATACAAATGTAAAAGTAAAGTCGATCAGAAAACGTCTAATTAGTAAGAATAGCAAAACAAGTGTTTTCAAGAGGAAAAAAACGCCGGCGCTATACGGCGGCGGATTGACAAAAGACTATTTATTAGCGAACTTTTTTTATGCATAAACGGTTTAGAACTGTTTCAAGCAAAAATAAACCTTATACCATATCACAAGAGCACATGGTACTTCGTAGGTCTATTCGGCCATATGATAGTAATAAGACGGCAGTTCAACCATTTTAAGCAAAATTAAACAATAAGACAAACGCATTGCTTTTTTTTAACAGGAGACTTGTTTTCCAGAAATTTATTTATAACTTGAGTTTGTGAGCGATCGCAATGAGTGCTATTATTTGTTACTTATTAGATTTTTTTCCACAACATGATTGAAAACCCACCAAGTAAAAAGAGTACCATGTACAAGTTAAAAAAAGGTTGTCAACCCCTAAAAATTTCAAATTTTCTAAATATTTAGAAACGACACGACTCGTGTGTCATACGCCACACACAAAAGTAATCGATGGCACGCCTGGCGTGCCATCCGCTCTGAACCGAGTACAATAAATATGTTACAGTTAAAATTGATGCGTAATTGTTTGTAATCTATTTATATACCAACTGTTACACTTATTTGTTATCATTTTAATTATTTATCTCATGAACTTAAGTGGCTATTATTTAGATATAGTATTTTATATTATTTAAAATTCCAAAGTCAACGTTAAAAGCCTACAAGAAGCAGGGGTGGACAATACCGGGAACCTTTTTACTTTCATTGTTAATTTACCAAATTAAAAATAAAACGTAATCCCTTGATAAGTTGTGATGGCGGGGTTTTTCTAATTTTGATGGTTTATGATGTCACTTGTTATTTTTCGTAAATTGTCATTCACTTGTGAATTATATTTATGATATTTTACGTTTTTTTTTTTTCTTATTTTTATTGTTTTATTACCGTTATTATTACCTTTTTTTTAGTTGTTGGTGCAAAGCTTCACGTTTAGTGGAAAAATGGGGTAATCTAAATGCAAGCGTGAGTGACTCACAACATGCAATTCCTGAAACTGACCAAAGCCAACTGCGATCAAAAAGTGGTCTCAATGTTGACCTTGACGAAATTTTAAATTACTTAAAAATAGAATTAAAAAAAACTCCACTTTGTGTTTTATAAAAGCAAACTGTCATAAATATTTTCAAGCAAGTTTCGGATTCCTGGTCTACAGGTACACCTCCTTATAAAACTCATATAGTTAAGAAAACACGGTGCAGATAAGGATCATACAATATTTGAAAGTAATATGGAAATCTTGCTTTGTTCTTGTAATTATAAAATCATTTTTATTATAAATTACTGTCATTTCGTTAGCCAGCATGTAGTACATTCTCTCTTAAATATAGGAATAGGAAAACGAACAATTTTAGCCTAGGGTAATTTAGGAACAGTTTTAACAACAGAACATGTTTAACAATAATAAATTTCTCAAAGTTATGTTAAAACAATTTAATGAAAATTTTCATTAAAATTATCTAAACTTAACTTTGAGTTGAAATGTTTTGCACTCCTGCTTCTACGATCCTATTTTTTCTAACGCTATAATAAATTAAGTATAGTTACTTTGTTTTGTAAATCGCGAACTTTGTTTTCGACTATCTAACACTGGTTTTGTTTAATGTGACTAGGAAAACGCTGTCATTATTTATGTGGGCACTTTGTCAACGTGATTTGAAATTTATAGCAGACTAGCTGATACCATAATATTTTATTGCGGAACTGTGTGCTCGTCGAAGTTGATCGAAGTCCGACGGACGTGACTACACACACTACTACTTCGCGAAAAGTTCAGTCGTCTTGAGTCGCCCGCACCCGTAACATGAATAACATTCAAGAGGCAGCTGTTATAGGTACCTAATTGTGTGAACAGTACGACGTCAATGCTTTAACCATAGATAAATAATTATGTAGAAAGCTACATATTTAATATTTATATACAAAAATATTAATATATAACTGGCGTACGCCGAGTAGTGTAGTGAGATGCTTCGTGTAACTTCGGGGTACTTCGCAAAGTTCTTTGACTCTGGCGCAAAAAACCGACTGCGATCGGAAGTCGCCCGAGGCGAAACGAGGTTGCACGAAGCCAATCGAAGTACCTCTCTACACTACTTCTCCTCGCCAAACTTCGATCAACTTCGCGAGTAGTGTATAGGGGCCATATAGATTTAGAGATATCGTGATGAATCAGTCAGTCAGTAGTGTTTCGCTTATAGTATGTAAATTTACTGTGGCAGCCTGTGCCCGCACCCGAGCCATCCACAGCTGTGACAGTTGTTGTTGAAAGTTGCCGGTCCAGTAGCATAGATACAAGTCTTTGGGTTACAAATGGTAAAGCTCAATCAATGTTCAGCTGGCAGAGAATGCCTTTTTGGCATTAAATTTGCCTTTGTACCAAATGTTTGTTTGTTTGAGTGCAATAAAGAATTTTCTATGTATCTATCTAATGTTTCTTAACTTTAATGTTTACAGCGCCTACTTTTATCTTGTATAACAAATAGCACTTACCAAAGAAGATATTGACCATCATGTTATACTCATAGTCCACACTCTCCGAATACAGGTATTGCACGTGTTCAACATAGTACAAGACTGATAAAACTAGAATCACAGCCACAGTTTTCCTCCTTTTATGGAAAACTCTGGAACAAAATTTCACAATGATTTAACGAACACTACACGTTGAATAAAAATAATTTTATGGATTTTATCACGATTAATTTTACTCATTTTTAATTCTCGATGTTTCTGTTGTTTTACACAGTTCAAAATCCATAAAACTAGTTTTATTCAATGTATTAGTGTTAGCGTAAATATAAGAAAACCAAATATCACATTAAAATTATGGGCTTTTTTATACAGGTATAAAACAAGCACACAGTCAACCTGATAAATCCTATCCTTGATTTTTTTTTTTTTTTTTATAGGATCGGGTGACAAACGAGCACGCAGTCCACCTGATGGTAAGTGGTTACTGTGACCCATAGACATCTACATCTATCCTCAATAAAGACTCAAGATGCAGATGCGTTGTCACCCGTGAGGACTAAGATGGAATGCCTCTTTGCCAGTAAAAAGGGTCTCCGGTTCTCTACACTCACCATACGAAACACAGCAGCGTTAAGCTGCTATTTTACGCTGGTTTTCTGTGAGAGCGTGGTCCTTCCCCGGTCGAGCCGACCCATTCGTGCTACAACCATAATATAGCTGCAGCATGGCTCTACCACGTAGAGATTTAGTATTAAAATGCAAATGCGTTGTCACCCCTGAGGACTACGACCGAAAGCAGTAAAAAGGGTCACCGGTTTTCTACACTAACCATACTGAACATAGCAGTATTAAGCTGCTATTTTACGTTGATATTCTGTGAGAGCGTGGTCCTACCCCGGTCGAGAGGTCTTTCCCTGGTCGAGGCATTCAATCTATGCTGCAGCTATAATACATATTTTAAACTACATCTTATATTTTATCGAGGGACCAATGAGTCAATATTCCACCTGATGGTATGTGGCTATTACTTCCACTGGACGTCATCAACCAACTTTGTACACGCTCCAAAAGAAAAACCACTTAAAGCCACAGATGCACTGCCACATTTGAAGACAGAAAATATGCGTGCAACTATGCTGGTTCTTTCACCCTTTAAGCAGCATTGCATGTACTACATGTACCATGTACCATAGCAGTATGGAAAAGTATACAAACCTGAAGGATCCTGAGATCTTAATGGAGGCCAGTAACTTAATAAGGCAAAAAGATGGTAGATAAATTAACTAACCTGACAACAGCAGCTGCATACAAAATCATGACCATAGACAGCGCACAAGCATAGTCCATAAACTCAGTGAACGGGTTGTCTCTGGTGTGGAAAATTATGGACCAAATCCACGCGTTCATGCACACCTATGTAGGAGAAGCAAATTTTTACACTGATGATGACAATATAATGCATAATAATAATATAATAATTCGTTCGGAAAGTTTATTCTATACAACCACTATTACAGGGGTGTCACTTCCACTATGGAAGGTATGGAGCACTCCATACCTCAAGTTTTTCAAGGTATGGAATTCCATAGCTGAAATTAGGAAATAAATCGCATATTACTACAAACCCCATATAAATAAATCGCAAGCCCTTAAACCTCAATACCCCACATCTTATAGTTCAATAAATAAGTTGAGTATATACACTGCAAACTCTTAAACCTTAATACCCCACGAGTAATGCGAACAAATTTGAAAATCGCGCCACCATTTTCCATACCTCAGATTTTTACAAAGTGACACGCCTGCACTATTACATTGCCATAAAGAGTTTGCAAAACCCTTGTGATAACCTCAAAGTATTGATCTCTTCCAATGTTTTAAGTACGTATTATATTCAGTATGGCAATATTATAATCATATGATAAATGAAAGTGCAGTCAGTATTCAACAGAGCAGACATGTCAGCATACACGCAACACAGTAGTTCGATATCCTAATGCGCCGAGATTTACCCAACTTCAATACAGCTCATATCTAAGTAGCGATTGAATAGACCCAACTATTCTATTCTATTCTGTTCTATTCTCTAAGTAAAAGATCGCAGCAACATTTTCTTGCGACCCGAGATTTTGAGTAAGATTGATTTTAGTTCTATGGACAGCTTTAAACTGTCGTTTTGAGCTACATTTAAGTATGAGTTATAACTAACAAACCAAAGAGCAAGTCTAGTGAGACACTATTCCAGTGAAATCACAAACATCATTCTACTCGAGTACAAAATGACTCTCCAGCTCCTTAACAACGGCGATACGCGGGGTAAGGATGGATTCACAGCAGAACTTCTGAAAACGGGTCGGGAACTGGTACTTAAAGTCCTTCTGAAGCTGTCCAATCCATTCATCATCGCAGTGCAACTCCTTTATTGAATAACAACAGACTGATTCTTTTTTTTTTTGAGCCGCATCTTTGTGCCCCGTGTAGTGGCGGGTAAGAATACCCACTACCACATATCTTCCCGTAGGTGTCGTAAGAGGCGACAGAGGGAAACAGAGGCAGAAGATGGGCAGCAGCAACTTTCTGATAACAACAAAAAGCAATAAAAACTGCGGTTGCTAACCTGCTCGCCAGGCGTAGCAACTACGGCAATAAACAAATAAACGGCCCCCAGTCCTCGGCGGCCCCGCTATTATTGGCTACGGCAGCGACCATGGTATCGGCGGGGCAGGGGGGGTATGAGGATATTTCTAGAGCCATGCATTCCTCCAAAACCCACTATACAGTGTTAATGGGAGACTTCAACGCAAAACTAGGCACAAGAGAGAACGGTGAGCTGAAAGCAGGGAATATTCGGAATAGGGCAACGGAACCCAAGGGGCCAGCAGTTGACCGACTTTATGGAGAAAGAGGAACTCTTTATGATGAACTCTTTTTTCCAATAGTGGCCTCACAGGAAGTGGACCTGGTCGAACCCCGACGGTTCGACAAAATATAAGACTGATTTCATCATGACGACCAAACAACAACTGTTAAGTGATGTCTCAGTGATTGCGAGGGTGAAAACTGGCAGCGATCACCGAATGATGACAGGCACTCCGAACCTAAACGTTAATTTGGAGAGGTCATGTCTAATGAAGTCAACGCTCCGTCCCCCTCGTGCTCTAATCCAAAGCCCCGAAAATTTTCAACTCGAGTTACAAAATCATTTTCTGTGCCTAGAAGATTGCAATGAAGCCGACGATATGAATGACAAGGTTGCGGAAACTGTCCATGCGGTAGGGGCTAAGTTCTATAAGACCCGTCGCAGAAGAACACAAAAACTCTGCGATCACATTCTTAATCTCATGGCTATTAGGCGGGAGATGAAGCTACAGCCTTCAGCAGATTTGAAAGAATACAGGCAACTGAATAGACAGATATCCAAATGCATGCGGCGGGACTTGCGCAACTTCAATACAGCTTGTATTGAAGAAGAGATCGAGCGGAACCAGGGCTCTAGTCTTTGCCAGAATTCTGTCTGCCAAAAAGATCCAAATGTAGAAGCTGAAGACCGAATGTGGCAGCAGTGTTTCCGGAATACCTGAGATTTTGAGTGATATTGAGAGGTTCTATGGGCAGCTGTACACGTCATTGTTGAATCCACACGCCAGTGTGAGTAACGATCCAAGAGCAAGTCCTATCCAACACTATTCCGATGATATCCCGGACGTCCGTCTGAGCGAGATTAGAATGGCTCTCCAGCACCTTAAAAACGGCTAGTCCCTGGGCGAGGATGGAATTACAGCGGATCTTCTAAAAGCGGGTGGAAAACCGGTACTTAAAGTCCTTCAGACGCACTTTAATTCCATCCTCCATGGCGGGACTACTCCACTGGCATGGAGCAGAAGTGCGGTGGTCTTGTTCTTCAAGAAATGCGACAACGCTCTCTTCAAGAACTACAGACCGATTTCCGCCGCGTCTACGAGCTGTTTTTGAGAGTCATTACAAATCGTCTCGCACGCAGACTCGACGACTTCCAGCCTCCCGAACATGCCGATTTTCGAAAAGGCTTTACACCATACCCTTCGGCAAATTGTACAGAACTGCCACTTTGTATTGCGTATGTGGACTAAGGATACGGTATTAACGTCAATGGCGGGTACATCACTCACCTTCGGTTTGCCGATGATATAGTCTTTATGGCAGAATCGCTGGAGGACCTAAGCACTATGCTCAATGAACTCCCAACGGATAGGTCTTGATGAACATGGACAAAACAAAAATCATGTATAACGTCCATGTCACACCTATGCCCGTAGTTGTTGGGATCATTAAGCTCAAAGTTGTTGACGAGTATGTTTGGGACAAATAGTCCGACTAGGTAAGTCCAACTTCGACCGAGAGGTGAATCGACAGATTCAACTCGGCTGGGCAGTGTTCGGGAAATTACGGCACATCTTCTCGTTAGGTATACCTCAAAACCTGAAAATGAGATTGTACAACCAGTGTGTGTTGCTAGTGGTGACCTATTGATATGAGACATGGTCCTTCTCTGTTGGCGGTATGAGGAAGCTTAAAGTCGTCAAGTAACCGACATAGCCCAAAGGATTTGTAAGCTGAAGTGGCATTGCATCAGCCATATAGCTCGAAGAACCGACAGCCGATGAGGAAGAAAGGTTCTCGAGTGCCAGCCTCGTACTGGCAAGCGAAGTGTAGGGCATTGCCCCACTTGATGTAGTGACGACATGGTAACACATATAGTAAGTCAATAGATGCAGGTGATTTGGGACCGTGCTTTGTGGCATTCCTTGGGGAAGGCCTATGTTCAGCAGTGGACTTGTGAAGGCCTGTAATGATGATGATGATCTTTGTGCTGTTTTTTATTATTTTGACTTGTTATCAGGAAGATCACCTGTGTCATTCCCCACTGTCGCCTCATACGACACCCACAGGATGATATGGGGTACCGAATACTCTTACGCCGCCACTATGACTACAATCCGTCTACTCTTAAAGTATGCAACAATAGTGATGATGGTCTATTATTTGGTGAGCAATAAAGTAGTTATTAAAATAGGACAGTTGAAATGTTATTAGTAAAACCAGTTGAAAATCCTAATAAAATAAAGTAAAACCTTTGCAAAGTACGCACCGCTGCAAAGAAATGCCAGAAGAGGACTATCGGAGTGCTGTCCACGGGGAACTGCCGAGTCATCTCCACATGCATGTAGACATGTGCTGCTAAGTTCAGAAACGAAGCGAACGCTGACGCCGGCTCTTGCACGCCCAGAATTCTTTTAAACGGCCACTATAATTAGAGAAAATTAACACCTAATAAGCATCCTGCATCCCATATCATTCCTTGAGTGTCGTAAGAGGCGAATGAGGAAATTGAAATCATAATAAAAAATACTTCAGTTGCCAACCCACCTGCCATGTGTGGCTACTGTGGCAAATATATAAAGCAATCTATGGAGGAAGACTTCAGCATGTTCAGCAGACTTTTTAAGCTATGATTAGTTAATGATATAGTTGGCTCAGAACTATGCTTTGTGGCATTCTTTAGGAAAGGCCTATGTTCAGGAGTGAACTTGCTATGGGATGTATGATAATGATGATGGAATAACATATTTCTATTAAACATTATACCTTGATTATACTTTTATATTATATTTTGACGTATGGTAGTGGCACAAGAGAATCACTCCTTGGCATCTAGTGGGAGTTGTAAGAGATTACAATGGAAAATGTCAGAAAAATCTTGAGAAGGCTTCTGATAGAGTGATATCATCATACCCTCTCATTTACATCACACATAAAATAATCAGACCGGCGACAGACTGCAGTAACAAAGGTGTAAGACATGGAACTGTGATCATCAATCACATTGCTTTATCTTACTGCTGCACTGATATGAGACGGGCTGTAATAATGATGATGATGATGATGATGATGATGAAGACAGGGTTAATCAGAACCTAACACATAATAACAAATTTATTCTCAATGTTCTGTAAAACCTAAAACTTCAAATGTTAAATTCATTGTTGTTAGAAAATGAAATGAGTATTAACCTTGCCGTGAAACTTTGGTGTTTGGTAACCCCTTTCTTGAAAGCCCTGCACTGTACGCCACATACTATGGTAGCGGCACTCATCTCTACAGTTCCACAAAAGCCGACTGGAAATCTCAAGTTGCTTAGCTGCACTTGGTGTAAAAGACCTTCCCCCTGAAAATATACAATTTAATTTGAACATGATGGTTTCATACAATATGCTTTTACTTCAAAACATTTTCTGTATTTCTTTGATTTAGTTTCATGCTTTCATGTCAATTCTAAGTCTATTAAAACTATCTATTTTTCTATCAACTGTACATAGTATATTTACCTCTAATCTATATATATAATATAAGCGGTTCTCCAAATATTGGTCAAGCAGTTAAGTAAACAACGCTTATTTTTTTTTTCTTTTTCATTGTTAATACCACAATAAATTGATTTTTCTCACCTCCGAAACTTTTTAAACATAACATAATATATTTAGATAAATGAACTACATATTCGCCTTGAATTTTATGCATAAAAATATTACTTACCATCAGTACAATTAGCTTTCAAGCAACTCTTAACGGAGTTTTGATAAAAAGGCGATCTATCTCCTTCGCTAGTTAAAATGTATGGAAAAATATTTATTAAAATAATAAAAATAAAACTAATTTTATAAACATTAACAAACATTTCCACGTTATTTATGTCAATCCACCGCAAGCGGTTTTATGATTTTATATTTATGTTTATATTTTCTATCAACATTTTCGTAATAACAAGCTGAGAGCCACAGACTACTTAGTGGATACTACCACAAACTATATAGAAACACTACGCGTTGATACTACCAAGTATATACACTCTTATCTATGGATACTACGTCTGAGAGAGCTTGGTAATGTTAGCAAGTCCAAAAATTAGAATTAGACGAGGTTTTACAGGGACATGTAGAATCGTTTGCTCATTAAGAATAAACGAAAAAAATAATTATTCGTGTCACCCCTGCAGATTTACGACCCTTCGAAGACGCTTGCTAGAAATTTTATAAAATAGTCATTTTTTAATGGTTTTAAGGCACCAAAGTGAAAATATTCATGCACAGAACGTTTGCGCGTTATTTTCTCGTTCCAGAAGTATAATTACTTTCTCAGAAAAATGCATAATAACTGATTTTCACGATATCATTATTTTTCGCACCCCCAGCCTACGCAAGCATGCGAGTCTGCAATTGCGCGGCGCGCGTCACGCAGCGCACTGTGGCCTGTGGGAAGTATCAAATGTGAAATCAACTTTAAGACATAATTTAAATATACAAATGCATAATTTAATATCTAATAATAATTTAAATTTGACATATAATTCTAATGATAATAATCATAAATTTCATGTAATTGACATAAATAATTTAATAAAAAAGTTTTGGACAAAAGATAGGTATTACCTATCCAAATATAATTTAAGACTGATAGCAAATGTGCTATCTTATTATTTACTTTTTAACTCAGCCAAGTTTTTGGCTACCAAGACTGCTTTTATTGAGCAAAATCATTTGACATTTAATTTGGAATCAGTTCCAACTAATTTAAATTAGTGAATGTGACAATAGAGGCAATCTCTAGCAATAATAAGAGTTTAATTAATTTTGAATACAGCCCACAAATAAGTAATAAAAATTGTTTACACCTGGTGCATCAAAATATACAAGGCATGTTGGGCAAAGAATTGGAAGTTGAATTGTTTTTAAATAGTAACAATATACACATCCTTTGTATTACTGAACATTGGCTAAAAGATTATAATTTCATGTTTAATTTCAGAAATCACCAGGTGGTCAGTTCCTTCAATAGAGAAAAAAGTTTACGTGGTGGCTCCTTAATATTAGCAGATAAATCATTATTATATAAAGAACGTAAGGATATTGTGAGCCTCTCTGTTGAACGAACTGTAGAAATGGCTTGTGTCGAGCTCGAGCACCTCATTGTTGTAAGTGTTTACAGACCCCCATGTGCTACTTATGACCATTTTGAAAGGATTGTGGAAGAAGTTTTACTCAAACTTAGTAAACAGAACAAGTCTGTTGTAATGTGTGGAGACTTTAATATCAATCTCCTTGAAACTTCTTCCATTAGTATTAAGTTTAGCTCATTGTTTAAATCGTATAATCTTGTAAATTTATTCTTAGAACCAACACGTATTGCTGGGCCTAGTGCGACCTGTATAGATAACATTTTTACAGATGTTAAGCCCTTGCATAAATCAATTATTCAAAATTTGAGTTCAGATCACTGTGGACAGTTAGTATCACTACCTTACATACACAAAAAACAGAAAAATAAGAAAGTTGTGTTTGTTCCAATAAATGAACATCGCTTGGAGAGGTTTAGAAGTAATATAATAAAAAGACTTCCATCACTTTCGTTTAAAAATAGAGCTAATTATTTGTATGCTACATTATTTGAAATTATACGTTGTGAATTTAGTAGAATATTTACTTCTAAAACTTTCTCTTTTAACAGTCGCAAATCATTTAATGAATGGGCGACAGTAGGAATTTATAAAAGTAGGCGAAGGTTATACGAGCTTTATGATGAAAGATCATATAATAGTAGTGTTATATTTAGAGATTATGTAAAAACATATTCTAAAATATTTAAAAAAGTGTGCTCCACTGCTAAGGCTTTACATTTAAGCAACAAAATTAAAACTGCATCCGACAAAATTAAAATGACCTGGAGAATAATAAATAGTGAAACGGGCAAGGTCAAACCGCGCAACTCGGATTTTCTATTGAATATTAACAATAATTCAACCCGATCTGATAAAGAAGTTGCTATGGCTTTTGAGAAACATTTTACTGATGTTCCTTTTTTGACAACAAAATCATTAAATTCTTCTCCTACTGTCGCCGAATCATTGCTCAAACAAAATGTAAAGGCTTGTTCAAATACTTTTAAATTCTATAGGGTACTGCCAAAAGATATCGTTAAATATTTTAAAACTATTGATGTTAAGAAAACGGCAGACTTATGGGGGATTTCCGTTAAAGTTATTTTATCTATAATAGATACATTAGCACCTTATCTAGCCACTATATTTAATATAAGCGTCGAATCTGGTGTGTTTCCTGATTTAATGAAACATAGTAAAGTCATACCTATATTTAAATCTGGTAGTACATTAGACCCCGCCAATTTTAGACCAATTTCTGTACTACCAACATTAAGTAAAATTTTTGAAAAAATTATTTTAGATCAGATGTTAAGTTTCTTTAATATTAATAAATTGCTACATAATAATCAATTCGGTTTTACAAGGGGTCGCTCGACAACTGACGCTGGAGTTGAGCTTATTAAACATATTTTTTGTGCATGGGAGAATTCAGAGGATGCTTTGGGTATATTTTGTGACCTTTCCAAGGCCTTCGACTGTGTTCACCATGAGACATTAATCAGGAAGCTACAGTACTATGGTGTCAAGAACACAGCGCTTAAACTTATTATTTCATATTTAAGTAATAGAAAACAGAAGGTTATTATCAATGGTAAAAGTTCTTCCGGGTCACCTGTACTAATGGGTGTACCTCAGGGCTCGATTCTCGGCCCATTCCTGTTTCTGGTGTATATTAATGACTTACCTCACCTTGTAGGGGATAGTCATGATATAGTATTATTTGCTGATGATACTTCCTTGATTTTTAAACTTAAACGTCAATCATTTAAATGTGACGAAGTGAATAATGCTATATCAAAATTAGTGCATTGGTTTAACGTTAATAATCTGCATTTGAACGGAAATAAAACTAATTGTGTTAAATTTACAACAACGAATGTTCAAAATCTGAATACCAATGTGTTTTTAAATGGGGAGGAATTGAGCCCTGTTGTATCCACTGTTTTTCTTGGCATCACTCTTGACGCAAAGCTCCAGTGGGGCCCCCATATATCCAAATTAGCATGCAGACTAAGTTCTGCAGCCTATGCTGTAAAAAAGATTAGAGGTCTCACTAGTGTCGAGACAGCTAGATTAGTTTATTTTAGTTATTTTCATAGCATAATGTCTTATGGGATTTTGCTATGGGGAAATGCGGCTGATTCAGAAACTATTTTTGTTTTACAGAAGAGGGCCATTAGAGCTATTTACAATCTAAAACCGAGAGAGTCTCTTAGAGATAAATTTAAAGAAATTAATATATTAACTTTGGCCTCTCAGTATATTTACGAAAATTTAATGTATGTTCACAAAAACAAAGATAGTTTTAGTAAAAGAAGTGATATACATTCTGTAAACACTAGGAACAAACACAAGCTAGTGATACCAGTTTCTCGACTCCACAGAGTCAGTAATTCATTCTTGGGGCAATGTATACGCTATTACAACAAGGTCCCGGAAAGTGTACAGGTTCTCTCTATTACCAAGTTTAAATGTTTTATTAAGCTGAAACTGTATAAAAAGGGTTATTATAGTATAAATGAATACATGGTTGATAATAACCCCTGGGAATGAGGTGATCGCTTCCAAGCAGTTTCTAAAATAAATTTTGTAAATAGTTCGTAATCATTTATATTGTAAAATTTATTTAAAAAAAAAAGTCCCGCTGGGTTTCTTGCTGGTTCTTCCCAGGACAGAGGGTTTTTTCGAACCAGTGGTAAAGTAAAAAATGACTTTCAATAAGAATTACATATGTAATGTATATTGAATAAAAAAATATTCTATTCTATTCTATTCTATTCTATTCTATTCTATTCTATTCTACTTATTGTTTACACTCACAATCCAGGGTTTTCTGTCTCATCAATTTGACAGTTGGATACCAGGCTCACTACACGATTGAGATCTCGTACAATGAAAGCGTAATTAGATTCCCCATTTTAATCGAGTTTTAATTAATCGGGCGTATTCAATTGGCGTTTCATTCAAAATCAAGTATCGTGACAACAAGTTTACAATAAAGCCATTGGTTTTGTGTGCACCTCTAGTAGCTTACATTTAATTATTGGAGAAAATATTTAGAGCTGTTATCAATATTCTATAAATCTTCTGTAAGTATTGTCCTAATCATCATTTTTTGGCTTGTTGCCTTTCAATGTTTATTATACATTTTATATTTTTTTGTGTGTAGGAATGCAGTGAGCAATCCAGAACATGACGTTTCCCTCGTCCCTCCCACCTCTTGCCCCTTCCCGCTTCCGCCATTTTGTCATGTCATGTTATTGTCGCGTAGCTGTCAAGTTAGAAGTTTTCTTGGAAATTTTTATTTTGTTTTTCTATGAAGTATGAACTAACTATAAATTATAAATAAAGTTTTATTGGCATTTTACTGCCATTTTACGAAAGGGTGTTTATTGTTTAATAGGTTATATATTTCGACGGGACGTTTTCTTTATAGCTTTAGCGTATTTTGTATATAATTTTTAGTTTTAAAATGTATTTTTAAGTGTTTCATTCCCAATTGTGCAAGTAACAGAAAAGAGTCTGACGAAGGCCAAAGAAACAAGTGGTTGGACTTAATAAACTGTGACAAACTTAAAAGTATGCTGCATTCTAGTAACCTTTTCAAGAAACTTGCTTAGTCACAAAATTTTTAAATAAAGGGTTTCATACTGCTAAATCTGACATTAATAAGGCTAAAAAAGGTTGGATAAACTCAACACTATTCGTTGGAGTAAGTTGAGTTAGGTTTATCAACAAAG